TTGGTTGTCATACTGACCAGATACAGCAAAGTGGCGGGTTTCATCCCCACGGTAGGCACACGCGGCGATCAACCAATGAGGCATCAGCAGGTGGACGGCAAATCTCTCTCTCAATCTCCCTTCCTTTCTCTGACTAAAAATCAATCAATCAATTAATTTAATTAATGAATTTGCAAATAAAAATGAAGCCTGGCCGGTGTGGCTCAGTGGTTGAGTATCGTCTCATGGACTGAGAGGTCCGGGTTCGATTCCCGGTCAAGGCACAGGCCCGGGTTGTGGGCTCGACCCCCAGTAGGGGGCGTGCAGGAGGCAGCCGATGGATGTATCTCTCTGTCTCCCATCCTCTCTGTCTAAAAAAAAACCAATCACAACATATTAAAAACATATAAATAAAAAGACTAAATTGTCTCCTACATGAAAATGGATGTAGGTGTAAAGCCTTATTACAAATGAAGACATCGGTTACCACATCTGACCCCTTTGGGTTCCGTCCCAAGGACTTACGGACACGGAAAGCCATGTGACCTAAACCCTATGGTGCAATTCAGATAAAAAAGCACGGAACCTTTAGATTATAGCAACCCGTCACTACGCCCTGAAACTTTATATTCTAGCAGTGATATCAAGGCCAAAGGCAAGGATTGTATTGACAGGACGCTCCCTTCATTCGTGTCGGAGGGCATTCGATTCCTGTGTTTTTAGGCATCTTTCCCGTGAGTCGTGTTTTAGAGTCACCCCACGTCCACGGAGCGTCTCTCTGGCCTGTGTACATTTCCCGTCGCGTCTTTGAATGAAACGCGGGGGACAGACAGACAGCCTCCTTGCAGAGACAGACGGATCTCAAACACCTACACGTTTAGCCGGCTCAGAAGCTGAGTGTGCAGCTCAGCCTGCCTGTCACACAAAGGGGCCATTTGCTGAAACGTGACACAGCCATTGAAAGGGCCACTATTCCTTCACCCAGAGCGTGGACGGACAGCGCCCTGCGGGGACGTGGATGCCAGCAGGCCCCTGTCCTGATGTCGTGCATACAATTCCCCGCCAGCAAAGCCGCCCCCGTCACATCTCCGGACGATGTCCGGCACCCCACTTAGACAACCAGGACAGGACGGGGATGTACAGTCACGGAGGACATGCGCTTGGAAGTCTGCCTGGTGGGTCATTTAAACTAAGAGAATAAAAAAAATTTTAAAAAAATTAAAAAAAAAAATTGGCCCTGGCCAGTTTGGCTCAGCGGTTAGAGCGTCGGCCTGCGGTCCTGAGAGACCCGGGTTCGGTTCCCGCTAAGGGCACGTACCTTGGTTGCAGTTTGTCCCCGGCCCTGGTCGGTCGTGCGGGTGGCAGCCACTCCATGTGTCCCTTTCACGTCGATGTTTCTCTCTCTCTCTCTCCCTTCCTCTCTCTCCCTCTCACTCTATCTGTGCAAAAAATGGAAAAATATCCTCAGGTGAGGATAAAAAAAAAAAAAAAATTGGATATGCAGTTGAACATTCCAGAAAGCAACGATAGAAATAGCAGCTTAAAAAGAAAATACAGACTCTCTCTCTCTCTCTCTCTCTCTCTCTCTATATATATATATATATATATACACACACACATATATGGTTTGCTACACTTCAGAGATACACGGAGGGCTGTTTCCCATGAGCACTTTGGAAGGCATTCGGCACGTTAAGATCAGACCCCCCAACAGGATGGTCTGGGCAGACCAACATTGGCCAGGATGCAGGATGTTATCGAACCTGCCCCGTGAGGGCTGACACGAGCCATGTTTGCCCAGGGAGGGAGGGGACCTGGTCTGATACAGACCAGTGTTCAATCCGGGGTGCACATTCGCTTCCCGGAAACAGAATAAGCCCAGAATCGAGAGACCAGCGAGTGGAGGAGGGGTGTGTTGGAGACGGATCCGTTCTGCCCGAGAATCACTGGAGCCTTTAAGAATGAACCACCTCTTCCCGTAATGGGGAAGCAGAGGCTTGTCTTACGGCGATTACACGGTACCCCAGCTGCCATCAGCAGCCAATTTTACACCTCCAACTGCTGGGGGGAGGTGATCCTCCCCAGCAAAACACGATTCATTTCGGGAGAAGCTGTGTCTAAACAGCGGTTTGGGGATGGATGGGGGAGCCATTGGACAGGGGCTGGCAGGAGAAAGGAATGAGTGATTGCTAATTAGATAAGGGGGGGCTGGTATCACGCGCAAGTTCCCGCCCGATCATAGCTCATCTCAGCCCCTGTGAACGCCAGAGACGTCGGGCCTTGGGGATGTGCCCTCCAGGTGCCGCCTGGAAGGGGTCACCCTGCATGTGGCTGGGGGGTCCTGGACCCTGGCGTCCTGATCGCTGTTGTTTTAAACCCCAAACCAGCTTCCTGCTGCCGGCTGTGAAGTCAGCTGTGGGTTGCTCATCCTCTGCCGGTGGAAGGGCCCAGCCTGTGAGTTTCCGTGGGTTTTAGATGCGGCCACCAAGGGACTCACGTTGCGGTCCACTTGGGTCAGACACGCGTCTGAAGGAATCGGTTCTGATTTATGTGATTTGAGGGTGTCGATCTGTCCCCCCATAAGCGTGCAGCAGACCATAGGGACGAATGAACACTCACTCCCGGAATCAGTAAGCGGCATGGCCCTTGGACTAATAAAAAGGTACAGACGGAGGAAAAAAACATAATTGGGTATACGGATAGGAGCAAGTCACGTCAAATGCTATCAACATTTTTTCTTTTCCATTTTTTTCTTTATTGATTATTAGAGAAAGAGGAAGAAAAAGGGAGGGATAGAAACATCCATGAGGCCCTGGCCGGTTTGGCTCAGTGGTTAGAGCGTCGGCCTGCGGTCCGGAGAGACCTGGGTTCGGTTCCCGCTAAGGGCACGGACCTCGGTTGCAGTTTGTCCCCGGCCCTGGTGGGTCGTGTGGGTGGCAGCCACTCGATGTGTCCCTTTCACGTCGATGTTTCTCTCTCTCTCTCTCTTCCTCTCTCTCCCTCCCCCTCTACCTGAACAAAAAATGGGAAAATGTCCTCGGGTGAGGATAAAAAAAAAAAAAGAAAAGAAACATCGATGAGAGAGAACATGGACTGGCTGCCCCCTGCATGCCCCCCACTGGGGATCAGGCCCACAACCTGGACATGTGTCCTGACCGGGAATCAAACTGGCGACCTCTTGGTGCAGGGTCGATGCTCAACCCTGAGCCACACTGGCCGGGTGTGAAATGCTATAAACTTTTTAACACTTTTTTTTTAAGTTCTTTTTTATTTTTTAGCATTTATTTACAGATAGAGGGGGAAGGAGAGAGGGAGAGAAACATCGACGTGAAAGGGACACATCGAGTGGCTGCCACCCACACGACCAACCAGGGCCGGGGACAAACTGCAACCGAGGTCCGTGCCTTTAGCGGGAACCGAACCCAGGTCTCTCCGGACCGCAGGTCGACGCTCTAACCGCTGAACCACACCGGCCAGGGCATCACTTTTTTTTTTTTTAAGGAATAGTGTTAAATCTGTATAGGAAAGTGTACGCGTCCTTAACAAAGAGACTTCAACCATCACAGAAAAGGTATTTCCAAGTTTTTTGTTTTTTTTTAAATCTTAGACAAGTGTTCCAGTTTCCCTCAATCTGCAGTATTAAAGTTACTGAAAAACAGGTCACGGGTATTTTGTGCAGAAGACACAGGAAATGAGGAAGAGGGTTAAAAGTGACCACTTTGTCACGGTCCGTGCCCAAAGGGCCTCATCTGCAGCTTTTGGGGAAGAATTGAGACTTTGACGCCTGGCGTGAAATCTAGTTCTTCAATATAAAAATCCTCCTCGTTTTCAAAATAAACTATCCTACCAGCTCATGCTGTTTCGGGGACAGACAGGCAGATTTGAATATGCATGGGCTTCCGGCCAAATTTCTTTTTCCTGGTGATGAGCCATTTTAAGATTGACTCTCTTAGCAACTCTAAAACATGGAATACAGTGTCGTTAACCATTTAACTGCCTCTTTCTCTCCTGACTTAATTTCTTTTTCTTTTTTTTAGCCTCACCCAAGGACATTTTTGCATTTATCTTCAGACAGAGCAGGAGGGAGAAAGGGAAGGAGAGAGAGAGAGAAACATCGATGTGAGAGAGACACATCGACGGGCTGCCACCCACACAACGCAACCAGGGTCGGGGACAAACTGCAACCGAGGTCCGTGCCCTTAGTGGGAACCGAACCCGGGTCTCTCTGGTCTGCAGGCCGACGCTCTAACCACTGAGCAAACTGGCCAGGGCTTTCCTGACTTAATTGTATAACGATTAGTTTGTTGCTGACAATAATTGAAGCCAGATGACTTCTATAAAAAGGCCACACTTCACCTTGGCCTTCCTGACCTGATTCAGTCAACTTTACATTTTATTAAAGAATTTTAATTGTTTTGTGTGTAACGGTGAGATTTTTTTTCTATAGACAATTCGAGGTGCATGCTAAGCTATGTACGTGTGAGATCGCTCATGTCTGTAATTTACTTTGAAACGTACACATTAAAAGGTATTAAAAAGTTAATAGCAAATGTAATGGGGGAAAAGATGATGTTTATTGCTTTTGTACACATGTACACAGCTTTGCACACAGTGTAACATACATCCTGTACACACACATGCACACACATAGTTGTCTCTCCTTCAGAAACTTCCTGTAGGAGTTTTTTTTCATTTTGTCATGGGAAAAAACAAACAAATATATATACTGGAATGATAACTTGAATCTGATATTGCCGCTGGTTAAAAATGTTTTAGATTAAATTTGTCTTACAGGTTAGGTCCAGACAAACACACCGACGAGACATTTTATCACACTGTCAAGAGAAACAATAACCATTATAAGTGGCACTGACATACTGTAACCCTCTCAAATATTTCACACTGTGGCCCCTCACAGGGAGAGAAGAATGGACCAGAGAAACCATCATCTTTTCAAATAGCAACAATGTTGACATGCTCTTTATAGTTGACCGATCGGATTATGTTGTATTGTCTCGCAGGGTTCTTAAGTACCGGTGACCAGGCAGCCAAGGGCAACTACGGCCTCCTGGATCAGATCCAAGCGCTTCGATGGATCGAGGAGAACGTCGGGGCCTTTGGTGGAGACCCCAAGCGCGTGACCATCTTCGGCTCCGGAGCGGGGGCTTCATGCGTCAGTCTATTGACTTTGTCGCACTATTCAGAAGGTAATCCCAGCCTCCCCTTGGTGGACAGGGGACCCCCAGGACTAAGAAATGCACCCATACCCCCCAGATGACATGTGTCTACATTGTCTTCTGTCAACGCAGCTTTTAATCATTAAACGACAAGTCCTGGTGAGGGCGTGGATGAAAGGGGACTCTAGTGCACTGCTGGCGGGAATGCAGACTGGTACAGCCACTATGGTGTTACCTCAAAAAATCGAAAATGGAACTGCCATTTGACCCAGTGATCCCACTTCTAGGAATATACCCTAAGAAGCCTGAAACACCCATCAGAAAGAATATATGTACCCCCGTGTTCATAGCAGCACTATTTACAATAGCTAAGATCTGGAAACAGCCCAAGTGTCCATCAGTAGACGAATGGATAAAAAAGCTGTGGTACATATACACAATGGAGTACTATGCAGCTGTAAGAAAGGAAGATCTCTTATCCTTTGAGATGACATGGAGGGACCTGTAGAGTATTATCCTAAGCGAAATGAGCCAAACAGAGAAAGACAAATATGACATGATCTCACTTATTTGTGGAATATAATGAACATAACAGTCTGAGGAATGGGGTAGTCCCAGAGACGTGGAAGTGGGGTACCGACTGACAATCCCCTGAAGAGGGAGTTGGGGGGGAGACAAACCACAGAACTTATATGCGTGTGTGCATGAACAATGGCCACGGACAACAAAGCTGGGTACGGGGTGGGGGGGATGGGGAGGAGGGTGTCAATGGAGAGAAAAGGAGAAACATCTCTAACAAAAATAAATTAATAAAAAAAAGAAAATAACATATTGAGATGTAATTGATATAGAACATGATGTTATTTTCAGGTGTACAGTGTAATGATATCATATCTGTATATCTCGCCAAGGGACCCCAATCAGCCTAGTTAACATGCATCACTTCACATCGTAACACAGTCTCTTTTCCTTGTGCTGAGAATGTTTAAGGTCTACTCTCTCAGCATCTTTTAAGTATACAATATAGCACTGTTATTTTAACAGTATACCTTTTGTCTGACTTCAGCGGACAACCCCGAGACATCACTTACAATCCTCGGAGCATAATGACCCCTTTCGAAAGGCTGACGCTATACTTTGGCCTCTTTGACCTTCTCCGGTCCACTTCACATTTTGTGAACTTCGAAGATCAACTTGGTCAAAGCAGCATGAGACAGTATGTCGATCATAACAGGATACGGATGACAGATGGGGGTTTGGAGATTCCGTAATCAAGTCTTATTACGCGACAAGGCCTGTGGCCATTTGGTTTTCAAAGTCACTTTGCTTTTATGGACTGTATTCCCTGTGCTGTGTTATACAGAATAACATTGAAAGTACAGTGTAATTGGGAAAAAAAAAAGTTAGTCCTGTGATCCCAGCTAACGCAAGGTGATTCACTCTTGTCCATTGGTGATGGACGTTCTAAGCAATAATGAGATTTGAAAGAGACGTCAACAGACTGGGGGATATAGTCATTAATATTATAATCTCGATGTAGGCTGCCAGGTGGGTCCTGGAAATATCGGGGGAACCCTTTGTCACGTACATAAATGTCTAACCACTATGCCGTACACCTGAAATGAATGTGAGACCGAATGTCAACTATAATGGAAAAATGTGCAAATTTAAATTTAAATAACACAGAGACATCTGTGTTATTGGAGACGTGTTCACCATCCCTATGTGAACCATTTATATCAGAAGCACTTGACACTTTAAAGGAATTATTTTACTTTAAATAGTTTTATGGGTTTCTTGGTTTTGTTTTTATTTATTAATCGTTACTCGAGGATATATTTTTCATTGATTTTCAGAGAGAGTACAAGGGAGGGAGAGAGGGACGGGGAGGGGGGACATTGATGTGAGAAACATCCATCGGCCGCCTCCTGCACGCCCCCCACTGGGGATCAAACCCCCAAAACCGGGGCATGTGCCCTGACTGGGAATCGAACCAGCCCCCTTTTGGTGAACTGGACGATGTTCAACCAACTGAGCCACACCGGCCGGGGTGCGGCCTCGATGTCTTTATCAGCAAGATACAATTAATGATGACGTTTAGTCCTCTCACATTTGAACATCTAGATTTTTTAATTTTCTAAGGGCTGAGGACGTGTGGAATTAAAGGCTTCTACTTACATTAACCCTTTACACGGAGGATCAAGTGAATCATCAGATAAATACCTAGACTATACACGTTTCCCAGTTCACGACTGAGAAAGTTCTCAGGACGAACGTTGGTGGGAACCAAATCCACGTCAGCCAAAACAAATCGGGGGAACAGTACCGACGACTGCATTAAACCCGCAGAGAGAATCATGCTTTGTGGTCATGGGCTCACCCGTGTCTGCAAAGCTCCTTTGCACACACAGCCCAGAGAAATATTTAAAAAAATGATCACAATACACAAAGGTTTGGCCTTAGGAATTCCGCTTCAGGCACTGGGGTCTCACCACGTCAACACACGCACGGAAAGATATGTATTCGCAGAGATATCTGCCCAAGTAGTGTCCCGGCCAAGAAGGGTGGGATAAGAAAGGCATAAAAGTTGTAAGGAACACACATACACTCACTCAGAGGAACAAGAATAGGTTGGTTTGTTTTTTTATCCTCACCTGAGGACACTTTTGCATTTATTTTCAGATAGAGCAGGAGGGAGAGAGGGAGGAGGAGAGAGAGAAACATCGACGAGAGAGAGAAACATCGATGAGAGAGAGAGACATCGACTGGTCGCCACCCACACGACCCAACCAGGGCCGGGGACAAACTGCAACCGAGGTCTGTGCCCTTAGCGGGAACCGAACCCGGGTCTCTCTGGACCATAGGCCGACGCTCTAACCGCTGAGCCTAACCAGCCAGGGCAACAATAATATGTTGTAATAATTGTGCTTGAGATACAATAGCCCGATAACACAATGGAAAAATTATGCCTCTAATGGGCAGTTCAGCCAAGCAGACCAATGACGGAAAATAGCCAAGAAAGAAAGATGCTGAAATGTTTCGGTCACTGGCACGTTCCAGTAGGAATTATAGGCGATTATTTTTCTCTCTCCAGTTTTTCCTCATTTTTCAGGGGTTCCTTACTGCTCTTACAAACAGATATATACACCCTATTTCCACAGTCATGGCCAATAGTGGTGAGAGAGAGAAAAAAAAAAAAAAAAAAACAACTTCTATCTCTATTTTTCTAATTCTGATTGTTTTAACTCACGAATGTCCTCAATAGAACACATATTTGATATTATTTGTTTCAGGTGCTTTAAAGCATCATTTTTTTTTTTTTTTAATCCTCACTCGAGGATATTTTTCTGTTTATGTCCAGATGGAGTGAGAGAGAGAGAGAGAAACATCGATGTGAGAGACGCATCAACTGGTTGCCTCCCCGATGACCCCATCCAGGGCCGGGGATGAACCACACCCGAGGTACATGCCCTTGATCAGAATCGAACTTGCGACTTTTTGGTCCATGGGCCGATGCTCTAGTGCTGAGCCAAACCACCCATCAGTCTTTAAAATCAAACACACAATTCAGTATTTGCCCATTTCCGATATTGATAAGCACCGCACCAGGAAATTGCTCCCCAGACGGCTTTGACAGTGTCTGGGGGCCCAGCCCCATGAAAGCCAAGTTTCAGGGTCGAACATCCTTTTGGGTAATTCTCCAGTTTTTCGAGTCACATCTTCCTGATTCGAATCATGTCCCCAAAGAAGTCCCCAAAGGTGACTTACGCACGCAATTCCGGGCACCTGGAGCGAAATCCTTCCTCCTTCCCACAATTCAGGGGTTCAGAACTAGATTGGTTGGGGTCCAAGAAACAGCAGGATGAGATAAAGACCAGAAAGCTATGATTTTTTACAGGCATCCCCTCTTGTCCTGTAAACTTAGCAATTAAGCTCGTTTTGTTTTTTGTTTGTTTGTTTGTTTGTTTTTACTCCTGGACATCCATGTACTAGACAGACTGCATGGGAAATTTTTCCGCTGCGCAGAATTTTCCTTCTCAATGTCCACTCCTCCAACAGCCTGAGATTTTTCAATCCTGTCAACCCAAACAGGTGCTTTTAAAATTAAGTTACAGGCAGGTCTGGGCTCAGCACGGATGCCGTTTGGAAGCAAATAATTAGGGGGAAAAAATGCGTTTTGTGTTTGAGGCTTTCTTTAGGAACAGCTAATTCTATATTTTAATTATTGCAATTCCTGCAACGGGTTCAGGAGGGGACCGCAGTACCTCTCGGAATTTAGTTCCGCACCTGGCTCTTCAGGGGGGCAGAGCAGCCTTTGACCTTCTTCCTGGCTCGGAGCGTATTTTTAGGGGACGGGGGGGGTGTCATTTCTGGGACAAGACTTGGTACGTGGCATCTGGCGCGGACAAGCAAATGGCACGCCAGATTGTGGAAGCAGAGACAAAATGCTTATGTTCTCCACGGCCGCTCCATTGTGCATGAAGTTTCCTTCTCTGAAGTCCGATCTGGGGGTGCGTGCAGGCGTGTGAGTGTGTGTGAGAACGCCCCAGAAAGCCGGCGTCCCGCGGGAGGGGGGCCGTGGGGAGCCTGAGCGGGGAGGGAGTGAAAGAGACTCTGAAGGCGCTGAATGTCCCCAGAAATTCACAGGCCCCCGGGCACAATGGGCGCCTTCTTTGCGGCATCAAAGCTGCCCTTCTGTCTTCGGGGCTCTCATTTGCATGGCACAATGTCGCACCTGCAGGGCTGTTCCAGAAGGCGATCATCCAGAGCGGGACCGCCCTGTCCAGCTGGGCCGTCAACTACCAACCTGCCAAGTACACTCGGATATTGGCAGATAAAGTCGGCTGCAACATGCTGGACACGACGGACATGGTTGAATGCTTGCGGAACAAGAAGTACAAGGAGCTCATTCAGCAGACCATCACCCCCGCCACCTACCACATCTCCTTCGGCCCCGTCATCGACGGTGACGTCATCCCCGACGACCCGCAGATCCTCATGGAGCAGGGCGAGTTCCTCAACTACGACATCATGCTGGGCGTCAACCAGGGCGAGGGCCTGAAGTTTGTGGACGGCATCGTGGACAACGAGGACGGCGTCACGCCCAACGACTTCGACTTCTCCGTGTCCAACTTCGTGGACAACCTGTACGGCTACCCGGAGGGCAAGGACACCTTGAGGGAGACCATCAAGTTCATGTACACGGACTGGGCGGACAAGGAGAACCCCGAAACGCGGCGGAAGACCCTGGTGGCGTTGTTCACCGACCACCAGTGGGTGGCCCCCGCCGTGGCCACCGCCGACCTGCACGCCCAGTACGGGTCGCCCACCTACTTCTACGCCTTTTATCACCACTGCCAGAGCGAAATGAAGCCCAGTTGGGCAGACTCGGCCCACGGTGACGAGGTCCCCTACGTGTTCGGCATCCCCATGATCGGCCCAACGGAGCTGTTCAGCTGCAACTTCTCCAAGAACGACGTCATGCTCAGCGCGGTGGTGATGACGTACTGGACGAACTTCGCCAAAACTGGGTATGTTCTGCTCATCACGATTCCCCTCCTCCCAGGTGCCTGGTTCCCGGGTCACCTTGCTGAGCACACGTACCCCAGCATACACACCCAGACACGCACCCCGTAGCTGCTTCCCCCCCAGGGTCGGAGGGGGCCACTCCGTTCCGCTCCCCCTGAATGATTTTTCTGTCAAGCCCGTGTTCATTACCCTGCTTGATAGATATTGAAAGTGCTGTTTCCTACCTGCTGCTGTAGGATGGAGACGTCATTGGTGATTCTGTGCAAAGGTCATTGTAAAAGTTTCCAACGTCAGCAAGACCTCGACTCCTTGGGTAAAGACCAGGGTTGTCAAAACACATGAGCCACACGGTTAATTGAGATGTATTTTGTGGTCACAGAAATGAACTCGAGCCCATAATAGCTAGACTGATACTCTGTGTGTGTGTACGTTTGCACATGTCCACCTACAGGCAAACCTCATCCGATGGTGCTTGGTGTTTTTCTTTTTTCTTTTATTGATTTTAGAGAGAGGAATGGGGAGAGAGAAAGAGATAGAAACATCGATGAGAGAGAGAATGTTGAGGGGCCACCCCCTGCACACCCCCCACTGGGGATCAGGCCCACACCCTGGGCATGTGCCCTGACCGGGAATCGAACCAGTGACCTCTTGGTGCAGGGTCGACGCTCAGCCACTGAGCCACACCGGCCAGACCGATTGTGCTTGGTTTTATTGGGCTTTGTGGATGTTGCATTTTTATTTTTGTTTTTGCAAATTGAAGGTAAGTCCCCCACCAGCACGAAGTTCACGACTTACCGAAGGGTCCGATGATGGTCAGCATTTGTCTTTAGCAGGAGAGTATTTTTTGTTAATGCACACGAATTATTGTTCAGACATGATGCTGTTGCATACTCAATGGACTGCCGCCGTGATTTTTCATCTGATGTGCTCCAAGATTTTTTAAAACATGGAATACCTGAGTAGCATCAGGGACTCGGACTTCTTTTCCCGTAGATTGTCCAATAAAGTAGTGGGAACAGCCAACACAGGATAGCCATCCGGTGTGAAGGAATAACAACGGACCTATTTTTTGTTGTTGTTATCAGATTGGCAAAAAATATAATTTTTTGGGGGGGGGCTTGCCACCAAATTTTAGTAATTACTTTTTATGTGTCCCATGAGATGAAAAAGGTTGAAAATCACTGGACTGCGGTGTAGTGTAAACACAACTGATATGTGCACCACGGAAGCAAAAAACTGGGTGACGCTCGTTATTGTGGTGTTTGCTTTATGGCAGCTGTGTGGGGCCCAGTGGGCAGTGTCTCCAATGTGCGTGTGTATAGACAGATGTAGACACAGACAGATAGAGATAGAGACAGAGATAGAGATAGAGACAGATGATACAGATATAGAGATAGACAAATACACACAGATGATATACATATAGAGATATAGACAGAGAGATAGACAGATATAGATAGAGACAGATGATATATATATATATATATATATATATGAAGAGAGATATAGATATAGACAAATGATGTAGATATAGAGATAGGGAGAGATAGGTACAGACAGATAATATAGATATAGAGATAGATAGAGATACATACAGATAGAGACAGATGATATAGATATAGAGATAGAGAGAGATGAAGATAGAGATAGATATAGATATAGACAGATGATATAGACAGAGATATATATAGATATAGATATTCATAGATATATATAGACACAGACATATATAGATAGATATATAGATAGATATATAGATGATATAGATATAGATATAGACATAGACATAGATAGATATAGATAGATACATAGATATGAATAAATATAGATATAGATATGGATGTAGATATGGATATAAATATAGAGATAGAGATAAAACAGATATAGATATAGACAGATATTCATAGATATATAGATATAGACAGATATATAGGTATAGATATAGATAGATAGACATAGATATAGATATATGGATATATTGATATAGATACAGGTATAGATAAATAAAGATATCAATATAGATATAAAGATACAGACATAGACATAAAGATACAGATATAAAATATATATTATACATATATAGAGAAACATTTAGTATTTCTCTCTAGTTACCTTTTATGTATATATACAGATGTGTAAACATTTATACATACTTATGTAATAAGTAAATATATATTCCATACACGTGTGCATACATGGATATATGCTTATCTCTGTACATATATGTTCAACTACATCTGAAAGGAAAGCTCATGGGGCACCTGTGCAGAGAAGGCACCAGACTCCGCATCGGGCGGCCTGTCTTCCCCGCACAGTCTCAGGGAACAGGGACGGACAGACGGCCGCGTCTGACGAGCCACAGTCTCCTGCTGGCTCTTTGCGGGGCTCACAGCCTCCTATGGGGTTGGACGCGGGGCCGCTGTCTTCTGACTGCGCACTTCACTCGAATACCTCCAGCCTCTCGTGCGGCATCGGCAGTGAGGATCCCCCGGGCTCCCCGGGTCGCGCGTGTTCCGGTGGCGACCGATGGCCGGAGGGGGCTCCCACAGTGTGCACGAGAGGGGGGTTTGGGGGTGCCGGGAGGCTCGATGCGCAGCGCTGGAGAAGCAACCATTGCTTGCAGTGATGCCGAGTAGTCAGCGGTGGGATGTGATCTCCGAATGCTCGGCCGTCCCCACTGGCCACACAGCACACTGACCGCGTTGGAAGTGGGTTGCATGAGCCCCTACATTGAACAGTCAGATTTCATCTGCAGGGGCCACATGGAAGGAGGACGTGACAACCTTTGGAAGAGATGCTGACCCACCACCGAAGAGTTATTTCTTCCTCCAGGGGAGGACTTGAGTCCTTCAGCACGTGTGTTCATGTAACACGGGATCATGCATTTCCTGGGGTTCTGGAGAGCACCCCAAACGCGTGCTCTGATACCCTCCAAGATGCTTTGTTTCCGAGTCCCGGGTGGAGAAGTCTACATGACTGAGTCTCCAGGGCCCTGTTCGCTCCAGCTCCCGACGGGCTTGGGCGTTACTGACCGCAAGCTGCGTCCCCCGCTTACTGCGTCTGGGACCACGTGGTTGGTGACCCCGTGTGCTTGGCAGAGGGCCAGCTTCTCCTACGAGAGCAGGCGTACGGCGTTGGAAGTGCGTTCTCCTCCGGCACAACCTCCTCTCATCTTGACGAATGACATCTGAGGTGCCAGGGTTAGAGCATCAGCATATCCTAATTGGAGGGGTAACGGTTGAACCCCTAACCCCTCCTAGAAGCAGGTCCGTGTGCAGTTACGTCCCGGGACGCACGTACACGCTCTCTGCCTGTGCAACGGTTTGTATTTTCATGAACCAAAAAGATTCCTGGGGGCGATTTCGAACCCGACCGCAGCACCCATGACCCCCACGGCACCGCCGTCGAAACGTGACATTCATGTTTTTATTTTTAAATCCTCACGTGAGGATATTATTCTGTTGATTTCAGAGGGAGAGGAAGACACAAAGAGAGAGAAACATCCGTCAGTTGTCCTCCACCCGAGCTCAACCAGGGATCCAATCGCGACTTTTGGGCGCACAGGACGACGCTCCGACCAACGGAGCCCCAGCCAAGGGCAAACATGCCTTTCACCTAACATCCAGTCACCCCACCCCCACTTGGATGAAAACACCCTATTTCTTTTTTCCTTTTCATATTTCGGAAGCAAACTTTTTTATGATTTTCTTAAACCCAAAGCCAGTTCCGTTTTTTTTTCTCGGTGTAACTGAACCATTACAAGACTGTAGATGCCACACAAAGGCATTCGATTCTCCTTGGCCCTTCCGCCTGCCAGTCTTGGAGCTCGAAGGCTGACTCTTTATTTAAAAATGGAAAAGAGAAAGTGCATTGATTGCTGATAAGCTCGCCGGGGAGAGACCTTCACTGATGCTGCAGGAGCTCGGAGCCGGGTCTGCGAAGCCAACATGTTCTGTGACCGAATGCGCAGCTTGGGTGACCGCCCTCGTTTGGAGAACCCGGAGCCCGTGGCCACATAAAATCACCTGGAATAATGACTCCCTGCCCACGTATATCCACGGGGACACCAGAATGCGCTTAGTAGGACGTTTCTGGCTGTTTTGTACACAGGAGCTCATTTAGCAACTGCCCCCTCCAAGGGGCCCGGCCTCAGGATGTTCCCACAGTGAGTTTTCCTTTAAATTGCTTTGTGAAGGCTGTTGGCCTGACTCGGATCCTCATCCTTAGAAGAAATGCCGGAGAAGTTCAGGTCACGGGCGATGTAAATGCCCCCCCAAATCTACGTCAGAAGGGAGGGCGATGGATGGGCACCGTTGACGGGTTTGGGGATCTGTCAGCGGGGGACCAGGGCTTCAGACGTCCTTGCTGGTTAGTGATGTTTGTGAAACAGGCTGGTGGCACCCCCGGCTCTGGGCAGAGCATCTCCTCGTCCTGGGGGAGCTGCAGCCTGGGCCAGGGGAGGAGAAGGAGCCACAATGATGCCCGTCAAGGGGCAGCACAGGGTAAACCACGTCTGAGGTCGCTGGGGAGCTGGGACGCTTCATCTGTCGCCCTGAGACTGTTTCAGTGACCCACGTGCCAACACCAGACCGAAAAGCGACCAGAAATGGGCAGGACAGCCCCAGATGTTTAGCAGTGGGCCGAAAACTAAGGCTGCCATGGAGGGTTTTCACCTGTGACGCGTACCGTTAAGGAACCAAGAATAGCAACGCACCACGCAAGGTCTGCAAAGACGGTGAAGAACACGGCGCGTCTCTGCGGGGTCAAATCCGTCTGGCATCAGAAGAGACGGGATCGGTTCTGGCCAGTCAAGAGACCCCGCTGCTCCCTGATCGAGGGCCAGATTAGTTTGGGTTCTGTGTGGGCAGAGGTGGTTACAAAAGCACAAATAAAGATCTCTGTAGAAGGTACGGCACGAACCGTCCCTTAAGCAACCAGGCTTTGCCTTCCACACGCGGAGACTGTAGATGCTGTTGGGATTCAAAGACGCAAACGTGCTCCACAATGCTTCGTACACCCAGTAGGTTTCATACTATAAAATGCAAAACGAAACCATCCTGTGTTTCAGTGGTCTTACGTGATTCTCACGAGTGCCGGGGTGGAGTGACTTGGGTCTTTCGTCGACTTCGGGTGAGTCTCTGCTTTGCAAGTTGCTGGAATCCCCGGATGAGTTTAGACTCAACGTTTAGCGATTCTTTGCAGAACACGAGAGAAAGGCCGTTGAGGATAATCCTGGACACAATAGCCTGGCAGCTTGATGCTCCTTTGACGACTCACCTTTATGGGCGAGATGTGTTCCCCTCTGAATAAATGAACTTCTCCACCTGTCGGATGGGAATCAGTGGACACTTAATTCTTGGTGCTTCGACGATTTGCCCTCAACAGGGCCGTGTTAGAGTTCCCTAAGACCTTTGAAGAACTCATACTACCTATCTGTAGTTAATGAAATGACATTTAACTCTCTCCACTGTCAGGAAGATAGCTCAAATGCAACACGGGAGTTGAAAAGGTGTGTGTTGGGGAATATGGATGAAGGTAGACATGGACGCCCTCTCTCGGAAAAGATGATGTGTGTGTCCCCATCGTCAGTCATGGTGATCTATACTTTGACTCGTGGGGATTAAAGCATGTCATACACTGTGGGGGAGTCTAAGAAATGAAGGCTCCTCAGTGGACACCCCCAAGAAGTTTCATAGACTGCGTCAGGCTAAGGCTTACCATTCTGGGTCCCCAAAATCCAATGCTGTGTTCTTTCAGGACAAAATGTGTTTCTTCACCTTCCAAATGGACCTTGACTTCCATCTAAAATAGCCCCCTGTCCAGCATGAATGGAGCCCTCTGTTCCCCATCTGACCTCTCCTTAATTAGAGGTTACACAGCTAATAGACACAGTTCACTGAAATCAGATGAAGGGAAAATTAGCAGGAATCCTCACGACATCCCGTGCTTTCAGACAGTAAAAATCAATCATAAAGGTTTCCGTGGCAGATTCCAGTTAGATGGAAAGTTTTCCAAAAGTTTACTTTAGCAAACTCTCAAGTAAAGGAAATATAAGGGGCTCCATTGGATCCGACACTTATCCTGAAACATGAAATTTTAGAAATAAGAAATAAAAACCAGTTTATTTCAAAAGCTGTGGTACATGTACACAATGGAATACTATGCAGCTGTGAAAAAGGAGGATCTCTTACCCTTTGAGACAACAGGGGGGGACCTGGAGAGTATTATGCTGAGGAAATAAGCCAGTCAGAGAAAGACAAGTATCACATGATCTTACTTATTTGTAGAATCTAATTAACAAAATAATCTGTTGGACAGAATAGATCCAGAGACATGGAAGTAGGGAACAGACTGATGAGCCTCGAAGGGAAGGAGGAGGGGGGACAGGAAGAGATAAACCAAAGATCTTATATGCACACATGCACAACTCATGGACACACACAACAGGTGAATGCAAGGGGCAGGGCAGGATCGAGGGCATCAACAGGAGGCAAGGGGGGGCATCTGTAATATTTTAAACAATAAAGATACACAAAATAAAATGGTAGATATGTTATGAAAATACCATAATGCTGCCAACATAAATTATTTTTAAAATACAGTTGGTTAATGAAGATGCAGTACCTATATCTACAGTGGAATATTACTAGGCCATGAAAAAGAATGAAATCGTATCATTTTTCGACAGCATGGATGGACCTAGAAGGTACTGTGCTAAATGAAATAAGTCAGACAGAGAAAGACAAATACGGTGTGGTTTCACTTCTATGAGGAATGTAAAAAAACAAAATAAAAATAAAGGAATAAGCAAAATGGAAAAAAAAAAAATGCAAGTATGGGATTTTGAGGGCCAGACATAATGGTAGCCATCCGTACAGTGAAGCTGCATAAATCCGTTGCTACTTCAGTATTTCATGCCCATCAGTAAACTTTTGCGATTAACTGCTCATCATTTCTTGTTTTATTTGATTAACCCTTGTGCAACGTGAGAGAATATAACCTCTTTTCTCTTTGTCTTCTTCCTTCCATCCCCAGTGACCCCAATCAGCCTGTTCCTCAGGATACCAAGTTCATCCACACGAAACCCAATCGCTTTGAGGAGGTGGCCTGGTCCAAGTACAACCCGAAAGACCAACTGTATCTGCACATTGGCCTGAAGCCCAGAGTGCGGGATCACTACCGCGCCACCAAGGTGGCTTTCTGGTTGGAGCTCGTGCCCCACCTGCACAACCTGAATGAGATATTCCAGTACGTGTCCACCACCACCAAGGTCCCTCCTCCAGACATGACCTCCTTTCCCTACGGGACCCGGCGGTCCCCTGCCAAGATCTGGCCCACGACCAAACGCCCGGCCATCACCCCAGCAAACAATCCCAAACACTCCAAGGACCCCCATAAAACAGGGCCCGAGGACACCACCGTCCTCATCGAGACGAAACGGGACTACTCCACCGAGCTGAGCGTCACCATCGCCGTGGGGGCCTCCTTGCTCTTCCTGAACATCTTGGCCTTTGCGGCCTTGTACTACAAGAAGGACAAGCGTCGCCACGAGACGCACCGGCGCCCCAGCCCCCAGAGGAACACCGCCAACGACCTGGCTCACATCCAGAACGAAGAGCTCATGTCCCTGCAGATGAAGCAGCTGGAACATGACCACGAATGTGAGTCCCTGCAGGCTCACGACACGCTGAGGCTCACCTGCCCGCCGGACTACACCCTCACCCTGCGTCGGTCTCCGGATGATATCCCGCTTATGACACCAAATACCATCACCATGATCCCAAACACACTGACGGGGATGCAGCCTTTGCACACATTCAACACCTTCAGCGGAGGACTCAACAGTACGAATTTACCCCACGGGCATTCCACCACGAGAGTATAGCTTTGCCGTTGTCCCCCCTCCCCCCACGCCTCCCATCCGCCGCATTGCAGAGCGAGAAAAACCAGAAGCAGCATCTCCACCCGAGGACTGTTCTGCATCCCACCAACTTAGGACAAAAAACAAACAAAAACCCAACAGCACTAAAGGGCAGTCCACCATTGTGTCCCTGTTGATCCATTCCATTGGCATTTCCCCGTATGACCAGATCAACTTCTGACCCTACGAAATGTGAAAAGTAGACATTGCCGTCATAATTCTGCTTCTCGTCCCCCACCCCCACCCCCTTGAACGTTCCCTGTGATGAAGACATCACCCCTCCAAGGACCTGGGTGTTTCCAAATGAACAATACAAGCTGAGACTTTTGGAACTTAGCCAGGGACCCGTAATTTTATTTTTAAATGACGCTTTCAAAAAATAATAATAATAATAATAATGAAAGTTCTTTCCATGCTGTGGAACAGATGGCTGTACGTACGTGAAGAAAGAGTCTGTGCGGTTGTACCCGGCATGTGGAACTGGACTCCGGCGAGAAAGAAAAGTAGCCTTTTATGATTAAAACAAAGCAACGGACTCTGCAGTCCCCGACGTATAGTTCTGTGCAAAGAGATGTTTTTGCCGGCCTGAACTATATTTAAGAAACTTTGTAAAAATAAAGAAACAACTTGTATATAGCTATGAGTTCACACACACACACACACGCAGAAAACAAAGAGAGAGAGACAAAAAAGCTTTTATCGGTGTTTTTCGTTTGAAACCGCTTTTAGCGAGATGGTACTTTCCATTGTGGTCTGTATGTATATAGATATAAATATAAATATATATATATATATACACATTAGTCATATCACCTCTGTTTCCTCCAGGACGTCGGAGGGACTTCTTCTCAATTACGTGTGATGAGGGAGACCTAGGGTTTTGTAGCGTGTTTCCTGTGTGGCGGCGCGTGATGTCAGTCCCTGCCCGTGTGACTGGCATTGTCCGCTTCCCAGGTTGTACAGGTGCATGCAAAGCATCCTTAGGAGACTGTTGTTTTAGGAAACTTCCATTTTTTTCGTGTGTGTGCGCGCGTTCAGCCTTCATGAAGTCCCGACCTGAAGACGGATCCCCGACGTGGAGTCTGTGAAAAGCTTGTCCGAGTAGACGCACGTACATGAGCGTGTCACCAGGCCCAAAAAAAAAAAAAAAAAAATTGCAGATTTCAGTTCTCTAGTTCTGGTTCTTTGAATATGTTTGGGAAGAGGTGCTCCCGACGCCAGGGTCCCCCCAAAAGGACAGGCAGCTTGTCTGTGGCGGGGCCGTGTCTGGCCGAGTGGATAGCGCTGTGTGTGACCCAGGCCCCCGCGGGGCGCTGGCTGGTGTTCGAGACCCTCCGATTCGCTGATCCCCTGTGCGAGGGCCTGTGTCTGTCTGGTTTTGTTAGAAAAGCAAGTCCCTCATTTCGCAGTCAGCAGAGTTTTCCTCTTTATCGGCTTGTCTGGAAGGACTAGTTTCTGTGGCTGTGTGCGTCGGTCACCAGTGAACACGACCGAGAGGAACACACACAGAGAAAAGGGGAGACAGGCCCTAGAACGTGCTTGGCATGGGGTTCCCAGGAAGGTAGGCTCGCTTCCCGGGCGACACAACACGGAGAAAATTATTCAGCCGTTTCAAAGTAGCCACCTGGGGTCCAAGTCTCGTGGTCCTTTTAATCATTCGTGAAGAATAGGCTGAGTGTCGTGAGGCAGAAACAGGACGTGGTGACCATGTTTTGTGGTGCAGGAAGCTTTTTCACACCAACCACCGGTAGGCAGACGTTCCCAGGTAGCGTCCCCATGCTTGATGGTCTTCATCTTAGAAACCCTGTCCTTGACGTCATTGGGAAAACTGGCACACCCCACAAACGTGCCTGCTTTCTTCCGACAGAACCCCCAAACTAACAGTGCGGGGTGTCTGTCACGGTGTTTGAGAAAGCACCCCGGGAAGACAGTTCTCAGAAATGCATCCAAGTCTCCCAACACGTTTCGCTGTTGACCTTGGTTTAGATCGGAGAGTGACTCTGTGTACACCTGTCGTGGACGGTCGTGACCTCAGATCACGATGCCGCGGAGCCCCGTGTCCTGCCGCCAAAGGTGTCGCGGAGATGTCTGTCCCCCGGGAACCATTCTGCAAGCTCTGTATTCATCCCGCGAACCAGCTCTTTATCCCCCGCAAAGGAACAGATTCTTGGCGTCCGTGTTGGTCCGGTTCGTCTTTGCTATGGATTCTCGTATTTGTTTAGTATTTTCTGTTGTCTTCAGCTAGCAATATGCACAATAATGTATCAGGCTTGTGAGCTTTGGATAAGGAAAAAGAAAAAGAAAAAAAAAAAAAAAGAGTTCTTGTTACGTGAATCATTACGTTTTACAGGGGGATTACAATCCGACGCAATTTAATACACCTTCAATGATATCTTATTTGTACATGGAAAGATGTTATAGAGTCTTCATAGAGTTCTATGAGAATAAAATATACTTGCTCTCTATTAAAAAAAAAAACTGAGAAAAAAAAAAGAGAGGGAAAAAAAGAAAAAATACGTAAAAAAAAAAAAAAAGAACAAAAAAAACTTTCCTACGCTTTTATTCTCGATCTCCACAGGCACGCAGGGTTAATGGTTTTCCTGGGTTATTATTTCGCGATTCTGTTTTTGCTTTTGCCTTAAGTAATGATAGAAGATATATATGGCTGGATACATATGTATACACTTTTCAGCAGCATTTTTAATAATAAAATATCACAGTATTTTCTAATGATTGGTGCAAATAATTCCGCGTCCCTTTTTTTTGTTTTTGTTGGAGGCGGTGGATTCATGTAACTTTTCTCCTCCTTCCCACGCCCTTCGCATCTGAAAACTTGAGAGGTGCCGGGGACGCACGTTGCGAAGGGACAGGTCAGCGGCCGTGGGCGCCGGTCTCTCACGGTGCAGAGCGCGGTGCTTCTGCGGCCATTGGGTCGGTTTTCCGGGCCTGACGTTGGGATAAAAGTCCTGCGTGGGGAAATGTGGAAAGAAGTTTCCCGAAATGCAGTGCCCTCCCAGATCGGTTCTCCCAACGCCACTGTTAACGTCTCCGGTCTGCCCTTGTGTTGGACGTCACGCGTCGACAGCTGTCCAAGGCGCGGCCTGGTCGGAGGCCGTCACACACAGCAGCATATTCCATTCAACAACAGTCAGGCCTCAGAAAGGGACAGTGGTACCAACAGGGGCTCATGGTGGCCTCCACACTGTGCCTTTGCTCATTCCCGATCCGCTGTTTATTATAAATCAGAAGCCGTTCCGAGTCGGGAATTGCAAGGGTTCGAGTTCTCAGTAGAGAGAGCTGGGATAAAAGGAGATGTTGAACCACTGTGACTGGCTGCAGACGATCCCAGGTTTCTCCTAAGCCAGGAGGGTTGAGGACGGCGTGCTGAGCGCGTTACCTGGAATTATAGTTCGCTGTGGGCAATGCCAAGGTGTTGGGCTCCCAGAGACATCTCCATGCCCCAGCCAAAAATTACATAGAACATTTTATATTTTTATTGATGACAGTGTTACAGATGTCCCCCACTTTGCCTCCCCCATTGTCTCCCTCCATCCAAATCTCAGCCCACCCAAACCTGCATCATGTATAACTTTTTAAAAATTTCTTTCTTTCTTTCTTTCTTTCTTTCTTTCTTTCTTTCTTTCTTTCTTTCTTTCTTTCTTTCTTTCTTTCTTTCTTTCTTTCTTTCCTTCCTTCCTTCCTTTCTTTCTTTCTTTCTTTCTTTCTTTCTTTCTTTCTTTCTTTCTTTTCTTTCTTTCTTTCTGTGGTACGTGCCCCTAGCGTGAACCAAACCTGGGACTCTCTGGTCTGCAGGCTGACGCTCAACCGCTGAGCCAAACTGGCCAGGGAGAAAAATATTTTTTTCTTTATTGATGTTAGGGAGAGAGGAAGGGAGAAGGAGAGAGAGATGGAAACATCGATGAGAAAGAACATTGGTCACCTCCTGCGTGCCCCCCACTGGGAATCGAGCCCAGAACCTGGGCATATGCCCTGACCGGGAGTCAACCCAGCCACACCAGCTGGGCTAACTTTTGACCCCCCCAAACTTTGCCTACTGCTGACTGGAATCTACAAATACATTGAACATACACACACACACACATATGTTATATATATATATATATATATATATATATATATAAATTAAAAATAAATAAGCTAGAGAGAAGAAAAATGTTACGAAGAAACTCATAAAGAAGAGAAAATACGTTTACAGCACTGGATTGTATCTATCGATTCCGTTTACATCACCTGTTTCCAAGATGAATTGTCTGTCTGATGTCAACATGCGCTTATATGATACACTGTGTTACAACTGTTACTAACACTACACACCAAAAGGGAAAAAGAAACTCGTATTTATTTACAGGAATAACAGTTTCAGCATTGGTAACAAAGAAGCCATCATATAACTGCTTCACAGTAGTAAGGAAATCCCAAGACTTTTTCAATAGCACTTTTTTGAAAACTCCGTGTATTGACCTAGGTCCCGAGACTAAGGTGACTAAAAGACTTTATTTAATTAATTTTTATTTTTTTAGATTAATTTATTTTTGTTACAGATGTTTCTCTTTTTTCCCCTCAGTGATTCCCCCCTCCCCCGCCATCCCCGCCCTGTCCGCATCTTTGTTGTCCATGTCCATTGTTCATGCACACATGCTTATAAGTTCTGTGGTTTATCTCTCCCCAACCACCCTCTCTTCTGGGGATTGTCAGTCTGTACCCCACTTCCATGTCTCTGGGACTACCCCGTTCCTCAGACTGTTATGTTCATCATATTCCACAAATAAGTGAGATCATATGATACTTGTCTTTCTCTGTTTGGCTTGTTTCACTTAGGATGATACTTTCCAGGTCCCTCCATGTCGTCTCAAAGGATAAGAGATCTTTCTTTCTTACAGCTGCGTAGTACTCCATTGTGTACATGTACCACTGCTTTTTTATCCATTCGTCTACTGATGGACACTTGGGCTGTTTCCAGATCTTAGCTGTTGTAAATAGTGCTGCTATGAACATGGGGGTACATATATTCTTGCTGATTGGTGTTTCAGGCTTCTTAGGGTATATTCCTAGAAGTGGGATCACTGGGTCAAATGGAAGTTCAATTTTTAATTTTCTGAGGAAACACCATATTGTTTTCCATAGTGGCTGCACCAGTCTGCATCCCCACCACCAGTGTACTAGAGTCCCCTTTTCTCCACACCCTCGCCAACACTTGTTGTTTGATGATTTGTGGATGGAGCCATTCTGACAGGTGTGAGGTGACACCTCATTGTTGTTTTAATTTGCATCTCTCTGATGATTAGTGATGTTGAGCATTTCTTTATATGTCTCTTAGCCATTTGTATGTCCTGTTTGGAGAGGTATTAATTTAACTACTGTGCCCATTTTTTGGGTGGGTTCTTTGTCTTTCTTTTGTGGAGTTGTATGAGCACTCTATATATATTGGAAATTAACCCCTTATCTGATGTATCATTGGCAGTTATGCTCTCCCATACAGTGGGTAGCCTTTCCGTTTTGATGATTGTATCTTTTGCTGTGCAGAAGCTCTTGAGTTTGATGTAGTCCCATGTGTTCATTTTCTCCTTTGTTTCTGTTGCCTTAGGTGATGTATCAGTGAAAATTCTGCTTGTATGATGTC